AGTTAATGATGGAGGCTGACTCAGCAGATTATGAAAACAGGAAGTTAGTGATGGAGGCTGACTCAGCAGATTATGAAAACAGGAAGTTAGCAATGGAGGCTGACTCGGCAGATTATGAAAACAGGAAGTTAGTGATGGAGGCTGACTCAGCAAATTATTGTGTCAGTTTGACTAAACAGAAATATTTCTGTTAATCTAATAAAACCAGTTTTTACTCTGGTTTTTAAAGTTCTGGGTAAAAACCCAAATGGCAGCAGGTCTTCAGGTAAAGGATGGTGGATCTCTGAGATGTTCTCGTTTTGTGACAAGTCTTCTCCTCCTTGAAGACCTGATCTGGACCTGGTTCTGGACAAGATACAGTGTAGGAAAACTGTTTTTTCTAGTCTCCAAACAAAACCCAGCAGTCTTTAAATGTAGACCTTTCTGGTCTCTGTTTTTATTTAATCAGTTTGTTGTTTTTTGCATCGTGATGGGATTAGAGCAGATTATCCACCTGGCTGTAATCTGACATGTTGGAATCTAAATATTCTGTTTTATGGACTGGCTCCTCACTGTTTGCTGTTCAGGAAGAACCCGCTGCACTTCCAGGAGTGCAGTCACCCTGGGGACACTGATTACCAGGACCAAGACCAGGACCAGGACCAACCAGAGTGTCCATACGGAACCGACTGCTACAGGTCAGAGGGCTGAAGTTGTGTTGGGTCCCGGTTTCGATCATGGAACAGCTGATGTCTGTTGAATTGATAAAGTTTGGTGTTTTTCTTGTTTCTTGTTCAGTTTTAGTTGTTCAGAGTCTGAGGTTTTTCATCAATTCACGCAGAAACAGTTTTTAGTAAATCAAACCATTTCCTTTGATGCGCAGATATTTTAATCTGCTGACTTGTTTTTATTTTCGCCCTGGTTTTGTAGATCTTTGTGATTGTATGATTTTATGAGGGATTATTTGTGTTAAATCTTCTTCCAGTTTCAGTTTGTTGTTCTGATGATGATTTTAATCTGTCTCTGCAGGACAAACCCACTTCACAGGAAACAATTCAAACACACAAAGAAACCCGGTATGTTTCAGCACAAATCTAGAACAGCACAGCCCTGGTGGCTTCTCGCTGCAGCTGCTCCTAAAATAATTCAATTTTTACTGAATAATTTATTTTACATGATCTTATTCTGAATCTTAAGATAAATCGATCTGAATTTATAAAAAAAAAGTATGGTTCATTTTAAAATCTTTACTGGATTTGACCCTTTATGAGTGGATGAGTAAATAAATCAAAATGTGTTATTAGGCTGCTGTCAGATCAAACGAGACAAACAGGAAGTTCTTGGACTTGAAGGTAAACATGTCGATCTTTGCAGCTCGTTCAACTCGACCCAAACACCAAAACCCTGATGAAGATGAAGATGAGTCCGGAGATGAGGACAGCTTCATTAATGACGACAGCGAAGACGTTGGCGAGGACTCTGACTACGTCCCTCCCGACTCAGAGGACAGTGAACAGGAAGACATCCAAAGACTGCAGAAGGAGGCCTCGGCCTTCCTGAAGAAGAGGAAGTAGAAAAGGAAGATCCGATGCTGTGATGTTCATTTTATATGTTCTAAATGTAAAAACATTAAAGATGGTTGTAATCAGGGCTTAATTTGTAAACCGATCGATGCTGGAACGCAAATAGCAGGCAGGCCAGTGGCGGGGGAGTGTCCTCCCCCAGAAAATTTTGAATAAAGTAGATGCAATTTCTTGCATTTTGGTGTATTTTAATGGGTTGTTAAACATCTATGTTTACCTACATTTGTAAACACTCTGCTTCTGTCAAGCATCAACCCCCCCCCACCCTCTTACTTGAACCGAGCCCGACACGGTCTCTGCTCATTGATGTCCGACTCCACATGTGAACCCCCAGGCGCCTGCCTGTGGCTGTGAGCTCCTGCATACAACTGCCTGATTAGCTCAGCACTCACCTCCACCACTCTTTTAGGGAAGGGTAGATGCGGAAATGCTACTTGAAGAGGCAGCTGGTATGGGATATTAAGAAGCTTGTAAGTGGCTGTTGTGTTTAAAATGAGTGTTTATATAATTATTCTCAGTTTACATATCCAATTTAAGTTTTATTTGTTCAAGGCAGTCATATTTGTTCATAACTTTATTATTAGTAAATCTGAGCATTACCGGATCCAAGCAGTTACTGGAATGCACCCTGTCAAAATAAGTTCTCGGATCCTGTTCCAGCAGGATCCAGCTCAAATTAAGCACTGGTTTGAATACATCTGATGAAAACTGTCTCCTTTGTTTATCGACTCCAACCAGGTTGGATTGACACATTTGATTAGTCACCACCAGCAGGAAACATGTCTGTGACCAGAAAAACTACAAAAGGAAACCATAACAAGGGATGAAAGCTAGTTCCAGGTCCGACAGACACGTGGATCGGATCGTCCAACACAGAAATGAGAGGAGCTTCAGATCAGGACCGGACTAAATCTGGAGTGCTCCTCTACCACAGACACTCTGGTAAAGCTTCTAAAGATTAACAAAAAATGTTTTGAAAAAAAAACAGCATCGATCAACTTTCAGCTCTAAACTCAGACATTCTTTTGTAAATGCCAGAGTCCCACTCTTATTTTGAAGAGTCTGATGTTTTATTGTGACAGTTAAAACCTGTTTGATGTTGATGTTTTTATGACTAAATCTTGAATCCGTGGACCCGCTGACCCACAGCTGCTTAAGGTAGGTAGAAGACCCACAATCTGCTGAGTCACTGTCACCTCTGTTGGCGAGCCCTTCAGGCAGAACCACAGAGTAAAAAGTAAGCCTCACAGTCACTGTATGAAAACGAAGTCCAACTTCTTGACCCATGAACAGCAGAAGGTTCTGATGGTACCACAGGTTCTGTTTGATGGTTCCAGTTTTATGACCAGTTAAAAAGAACCTTCACTTCCTGCTTGAAAGAGAAAACTGAGCTCAGACACTATAGAAGTCAACAGGAGTTTGATCTTTGAGAGGAACCATCAGTCCTACAGCTGGGTCAGGGGGTTCTGGTCTCTCCCATCAGGCTCATCTGTGGTTTGAGAAGTTGGTGAGTCTCTTCTGAGTACCAGTAAAGACTGGACCACAGGTCCCACCATGGTTCTGATCAGAACCCTCAGCAGCGTGATTTCTGTGAAATGTACCGGATCGATTCAGGGACAGTTTGGGTTTGACTGAAACTGAACTTTGTTCTCGTGCCGAGACGACTCCTTCAGAAACATCTCAAATATTCAGATTTACAACCTGGTCGTTTCTGTTGGAACTCACTTTCACTGATCCTGGGTCAGTTTGTTTCAATAAAACTCTCAAGGATATTTTTTAAAATTTTAACTCCCACAATAAAACCTGAGAAGACGAACAATAAAGAAGCTGCAGTTTTCAGGTAAGTCCTGACAGAAAACTGGACTTGCATAGAAGAAAACGAGTCCAAACTGAAATGTGAAACATTTAAATGATTGTTACATCAACCTGAAGCTGCTGCTGATTGAACATGTGATGAAGATGATCACACTTAACAGCAGGACGAGACTCAGACCGAGGAAGATCAGCTTCTCTGAGCAGATCTGAGCTCAGTTCAAAATAAAAAATCGTCACACCGGATTAGAAAATAAATGACGTTCAATCGACAACCTGAAGTAAATGTTTACATTTTTACTCAATCAAATCATTCTGAAGTTGAAATAAAATTATTTCATGTTTTTGTTCCATTCTGCTGATCCAAGTTCTGTCCGTTCAGCTCTGCAGAGGAGCTGGCAGCTTCAAATGTTCTGTTGCTGAACTCACAGGCAGATCAACTCCCTTTCCTCCCTCCTCAGGAACATCCTCAAAGAAAGTTCCACAGGCAGATCCATCAGAATCGCCCAGAACCTGGAGGTTCAACCGAACGTTTTGGACTCTGTGGTTCTTCCTGAACGAAGGAAGAAATGTTCCAACGGGTCCAAATGAAGAACCTGAGCCAGAGGGAACAGATTCATCCGCCCCAGAAAGTAGTCCCTCAGCCTGCCTCTGACACACAAACCGCTGGTTTAGATTTATGAACCTTTAACCTGCAACCGGTTCTAAAGGTGCTTCAGAACCATCTGCTCTCAATGGACTCTTACTTTCCTCAAAAAGATTTTATTTTACAAAATGAAATCAGATGGAGACAAAAAGAACAAAAATTTAAAATAAAAAAACGCCCCTCCCCAGAGTCTCTGTCCACCCACGGACCGGACTACTTCTTGGCGTAGGTGATCTTCATGGCACAGGTGGCCGTGATCCGGAAGCCCTGCAGCGCATCTTTGGCCACGCCCGCCTGACTCTCGCCCTCAAACTCCACAAAGGAGATGTCGTGTTTGCCCGGAACCAACCGGACCTCCTTGAAACCCGGGAACCTGAGAAGCACAGAAAGAAATCAGTTGTAGTGCACCAGCAGCAGAACCGCGCTCAGATTCTGGTTCTGGAGGGACTCACTGGTTGAAGAGCATGGACAGCATCATCTCGTTGGTCTCCTCGGGGAGGTTGGTCAAAAACAGGATGTGGTTCGGCGGATTGTCCGGAACCTGAGGACGAAACAGAACCTCTGATCACACCCAAACGCTCCAGAACCTCCGCCTGTTTGGACCATTACAGAACCACGAATACGTCGACCAGAACACGTTCACAGAAGAAGTCACCATTCTTTGTCCTTAACTTCTCTGATGATCTGAAGTCTTTCTGTGACTCCGTTAATCTTACACACTTCATGAACTCTCTTGGTCCAAACAGTAAAAATCCTGAGGTCCACCTCGATAGACTTCATTTGACTAAAGCTCCTCAGAGTTTACACCTCTGGGTGTCTTGCACTGATCTGAGGGACCATTGTGGTTTTGCAACAGTGGTCCTCAGATCAAAGCCTCACATCGTTTCAAAGAGACATCTTTAACATTTTAATGCTTTTCATCACCATTTGTCAAATTATGACTGGGACAAACAACAGACCTGGTCCCCGATGTGGAGGTAGCTTGGAGTTGGTTTGAACATTTTAAATAAATATGCTCCACTAAAGAGATCCAGGGTAAAGTTGTGAGAACAGCTGTGGTTCTCCCCAGAGTTAACAGATAAATAAAATTCATATTTGAAACCTGGCATGGGCCAAGACACAGAAATCAGATTTAATTAATGATTGGCTTTATTTAGACAACTATGAAATAAATATACTTCTCTTATTAAAGACAAATCAGATTATTATTTAGCTGTTTCCGCTGAAAATCTCTCACTCACACACACACACACACGCACGCACGCACGCACGCACGCACGCACGCACGCGCGCTTTGGAACGTTATGAAATCTGTTGATAAATAAAAGCTCTCGGGTTCTAAATGATTCCATTCCTGATACAACGAAGGGATTAAATTGTTTTAAACATTTTACATCTTTGGGTTCTCTGATTCTATGGTTTCTGTAAAACCTGTACAGATCTTCCAATATATACAGATCAACCTTTGACCTTCTCCGTCCAGGAAGTTCAAAAAGCCTCAAAAGGTTTAGATCATAGAAAATCTTCTGGTCCTGATTTAATTGTACTTTTTTAAAACTGGCATCTGATTTGTTGTAGATGAGCCTCTTGCATACCTTTTTAATCTCACAGTAGAAAAGAATGAAACTCCCTCTGAATGGAAGTCAGCTTTTATTCTGCCCTTATTAAAAAGGGCAGCGACCCAACAAATGTTAACTAACTTTAGACCAACATCCAATCGATCAGCTTTGGTTAAAACTCTTAAAAGCTCGTGAGTGAGCAACTAAGAGATTTTACATTTTAATATTTGAGCAGAATATCAAACAATCAGCTCAATTACAGCTGCATTGAAGGTAGTAAAGGATTTGACAACATTGTGCATCACTCTTTATAGATTTATCCAAAATCTTTGATGTTGCTGATCATGAGATTTTAAAACTTAAGACTTCAGTTTTCAGAAAAAGAACTGCTTGGTTCATAAATAACCTCAGTAACAGAATTCAGTGCATCAAATGTGATGTTCTGTGTTCTGAATGCGTTACTGTCCAGAAGGGAGTGCCACAGGGGTCAGTTCTTGGTCCCGTCTTATTTACACAAACGATCTGGGTCTGAATGTGTCCGATGCTCATTTACATATTTATGCAGATGACAGTTATTTATCGTTGCTCATCAACTCTTGCTCAGGCAATTGATTATTTGCAGAAAGTTTTTGAAGTTAAACAGAACTCATTATTACAACTGAAGCTCGTTCTTAAAGCAGATAAGACTAAACTTGTGTTTTCTTAATCCACAAATCAAGTACAAACAACCCACTCAGTGATCACCTTGGAGGGAAACGTAACAGAAGTGGTCCATGAGTACGAATACCTTGGTGTCTTGACCAATGACTCCCCTCACTTTTAACCCCCCTGGAGAGAAACTTGTACAGAACCTGAGGCTAAAGCTGGGTTTTTAATTTTAAAACAAAAGGTTTGTTTTTCTTTTAGCTGCAACGGTTTTAGCTGTGTTGGATTATGAAGATCTTTTCTATACGAATGCCTTTACTCTCCATCTTCATATGGATGAAGCTGCTCTCAGGTTCATCACTAAATGTAAATCGGACACATCACAGAGTTTTACTCTCATGTAAGATGGCCGCTCTGGCCACTAGAACCAACAGTCATCAGCTTGTTTTTATACACAGAACAAGGCAATACTTGGACTACTACCTTTGTACATATGTAATCTACATGTACAGAAAAATGCTGTTCCCCACAGACAGAACCGCTCCGGTAAACGGGTCTCACCTGAGCTGCAGGAGTCTGAAGAGGAGCAGCAGAAACCTGCAGAGAAACACGAACATATTAACAGAACCAGGAGGACGGATCCAGTCAACTTTTATGCTAACCAAATCAGAATCATCATTCCAGCTGACCCAGAGGAGCTGTCCAACAGAACCAGAGGATTGGACCTCACTCACCGCTGATGGTTTCTTGGTGGCGTTCGCTGCCGCCGCCGCCGCTGCTGCCTCCTGAGCCTTCTTCTTCTTCTCCTTCTTCTTCTCCTTGTCTCCGTACGTGCCCTTCATCTTGGAGATGACCTCCGAGTCGGTCTTGGCGTACTGGATCCTCTGAAAAACAAACGGGTTGGAGTTCAGTGTGCGGCTGACGGCGGTGCGGAGTTCGGTGCCGGCAGCGTACCATGGGCTTGTTGAAGAAGGGGAAGCCCTGCAGCTGCCGCAGAGCGTTGGTGGCGGCGGTGAGCTCTTTGAAGATGACGAAGGCCTGCCCCCTCATCTTCGGCGTCTTCATGGCCACGATGTCAATGATCTGCCCGAACTGAGAGAGGAGCGCGTAGAGCGAGCGCTTCAGCTCTGCGGGACAAACAGAACCTCAGCAGAACCCGACCAGACAAAGACTCTCAAGACAGGTTCAGGTAAAACGGTCCATGGAACCAGAACCTGGCTCGTTCCTGCTCACCTTCCTTCTTGATTTTATCGTTGACGTTGTTGATGTAGATCGTGTGATTGGGTCGGATGTCCATCCTGCAGTCTGACGAAACGACCCGGCAGAACCGTGGCAGAACCAAGTCGAACGCTCAGGTGTAAACTTCATCAAATTGAACAGAACAGTCAGAAAAACTAAACTTCTGTCTTGCATTAGGTTCTGATACAAATAAGTTAAGAGCTTCTCAAGTTCCCTCAGAGCAGAGAACAGAATCCAACTCTTCAAAGATCAAGAAATAAAATCAGAACCATTATCAATACTTCTCTTCATGACTAAATATTTTATTTTTATCGTTTCATCTTTGGACTCGTGTTGCTCCTGAATCTTTGCTTAAACACTAAAGAGACATTTTTATTAAATTTACCTCGAAAGTTTCAAATGGAGAGAAATGACTTAACGACCTTTGAACTCTGAAAACATTTCAGTCTGGAAACCTGCAAGCAGAAAAATGTTTAAACAGAAGCATCCAGAAAGTATACACAGCCTTTGCTTAATACTTTGTTGATCCATCTTTGGCAGTAATCACAGCTCCAGTCTTTTTGAAATTGATGCTTCAAGCTGAGCACACCTCTCTTTAGGCAGTTTGTCCCATTCTTCTTTGCAGGACTTCTCCAGCTCCATCAGGTTGGATGGGAGACGTCTGTGCAGCCATTTTCAGATACCTCCAGAGATGTTCAATCAGATTCAAGTCTGGACTCTGGCTTGGCCCCTCCAGGACATCCACAGAGTGGTCCTGAAGCCACTCCTTTGAGATCTTGGCCATGAGGTTTGGGTCGTCGTCCTGCTGAAAAATGAACCGTCGCTCCAGTCTGAGGTCAAGAACGCTCTGGAGCAGTTTTCATCCAGGATGTCTCTGTACATCGCTGCATTCATCTTTCCCTTTATCCGACTAGTCTGCCAGTTCCTGTTGCTGAAAACATCCCCACAGCATAATGCTGCCACCACCATGCTTCTCTGTAGGAATAGTACTAGCCTGGTGATGGGCGGTGCCTGGTTTCCTCTAAACATGACACCTGGCATTCACACCGAAGAGTTCAATCTTTGTTTTAAACCAGAGAATTTTGTTTCTCGTGGTTTGAGAGTCCTTCAGGTGCCTTTTGGCAAACTCCAGATGGGCTGCCATGTGCCTTTTATTAAGAAGTGGTTTTCATCTGGCCACTATCATGCAAGCGTGATTGGTGGATTGCTGCAGAGATGGTTGTCCTTCTGGAAGGTTCTCCTCTCTCCACAGAGGAACAATGGAGCTCAGAGTGACCATCGGCTTCTTGGTCACAGCCCTGACTAAGGACCTTCTCCCCTGATCGCTCAGTTTAGACGGCCGGCCAGTTCTAGGAAGAGTCCTAGTGGTTCCAAACTTCTTCCATTTACAAATGATGGAGGCCACTTTGCTCAATGAGACCTTCAAAGCACCAGAAATGTTTCTGTATTCTTCCCCAGATTTGGACCTCAACACAATCCTGTCTTGGAGGTTTACAGACAATTCCTTTGACTTCATGCTTGGTGTTTGTGCTCTGACATGCACTGTCAACTGTGGGGCCTTATATAGACAGGTGTGCTTTTCCAAATCAAACTTAATCAGCTGAATTTACCACAGGTGGACTCCGTTTAACTTGTAGAAACATTTCAAGGATCAGTGAAAACCGTATGAGCTTCATGGCAAAGGCTGTGAATACTTATCATTTCTTAGTTTTCCATTTGTAATAAAAATCTCGGATTTTTTTTTACATTGTCTTAATGTTGTGGATAGAATTTTAAAGATTAATTTAATACAATTTAGAATTGGGCTGTAACATAAAATGTGGACAAACACAAAGTGAAGCGCTGCGAATCTTTCAGGATTTACTGTAAAATAATAAAGTTCCTCTACAGTCATTCATATTATAAATTCATCTGTAGGTAGATCGTTAAACAGGATAATTCAATGAGTTTCTGGTCAGAAACTGGTTTTTATTCTAGTTTCTCAGTCTGAACTCATGTTAGCATCTCTGTTAGCTCGGAGGCTAACATATTCCCAAAGAAACGTTTCGGACCAACTTCCGGTTGAACTAAAATGTCTTTTTTCTATATGTTTGTGTTAATAGGCTTCGTCGACAAACTTCAGCTGAATGAATTGGTTTGAAACGGGTTTAAATGAGGAAAAAACTCACCTGATATTGTCTCAACAGGACGCACACGTCTCAGTTAGCATTCCCGGTGTTTCTTCTGGTTCTTTACAAGAACTGGTCACACCGGAAATCTGAATCGAGGGGCGGGGCTTATAAGGACCCAACTTCAATGAAAACAAGAGATACCGAGTCATATAAGTTAAAATTGACTACAAATTGTATTTGAGTATTTTAAGACTCCAAATATAATGTTTATTTTTATTTATGTTTATTTATTACGAACATGGTAGGAACAAATAATTAAAAAAAAACATCAATAACTATGAACTAGTGTTATAAATTGCCCAGTTTATATGATAAAATAACTCAACGTTGTGTTCAAACTGGACCAGGTAGAAGAACAAACTACAAACAAATCATATCAATTCTGGCCTTGTCTCATCCTGTTTGGTTGTTAATAAATTTATAAACACCCAAACATTTTTAATCTGGGTGACATAGTTCCATCCATTCATCTTTTACCCGCTCCTTTCTTTTCAAGTCGGGAGGGTCACTGGTGCCCATATCCAGAGGTAACTGTGCGAGAGGCAGGGGACACCCTGGACAGGTCTCCAGTCCATCACAGGGACACAGAAATAAACAAGCCAAACAATCATTCACACCTAGGGATAATTTAGAGTTACCAATCAGCCTAACATGCATGTTTTTGGTCTGTGGGAGGAAACCGGAGTACCCGGAGAAAACCCACGCATGCACGGAGAGAACATGCAAAATCCAACCAGAAAGGTCCCGGGCCAGGATTTGAACCGGAGACCTTCTAGCTGAGAGGCAGCAACTGTGCCAACTGCACCACCATGCCACCCGCAAAAGTTTACAATTTCTTAATAATTTTGTTTTTGAACAGGCATATATGTGGTCACCTACTCCCTAAAATCCGAGGTCTTATTTAAGAGACTCTCACCAGCGGGTCGCCAGCTGATTTAAAACACTTCAGTAACAAATATGTCCGTTGTTGCCGCCTGTCGGTGCGGAGAAAACATGCAGGAGATATTTTACCTTTTACCTTATTCACAACCATAACAAACGTACTGAAAATATACACATCTCCTGTTGTATTCAAATAATTTGTGTAACAGAGGTTCAAACAAATTGTGAAATCAAATAAATAAATAAAAAAAATAAAACAAACAAAAATATGTTAGGGGGCTACTGTCTGAAACTCTTCCATTACCTCAATTAATTGAAACTGTGTACACAGCTACATCCAACAAAAACATAAAATATAAAAGAAAAGCAGTAATAAGATCTAAGATATGAACTAAGAAACACGTTAACTAAAAACACACTAAGCACTAGTGGTATGAAAACAATATGTCTAACAGCAGCGTGAACATGAGTCTGTGAGAGCAGATGAGTACAAATGCTTGAAATAAATCAGCAGCAACATGATGTGATTTTTTTTCACAGTGATGAGAGATTGATGAGTCTAACAGCCTCGGGGTAATGCTCTACAACCTCCTTGCTGAGGGGAGCGGGGCAAAAGTGTGCGTGCTGGGTGAGATGCCATATGTTATAGATGCTGGTGGCTGTGGGCAGGAAGGATCTCTTGTAGCGGTCTGTCTTACAGCAGATCTGAAGAAGTCTCTGACATGACATTCTGATGAAGAGGAATAAATTAATTAATTAATTTAACTAAATTAATAAATCCAATCCAACAACAACACCACCGCTTCACAATACATTGTCATCATTGTATATTCCCATACAATGGCGAAATTGGCTCTCTGCATTTAACTCAGTGGTGTAGTCTACATTTCTGTAGTGGGTATACTGTGCTAGAAACCAAAGTGCACTGGTTAGTACAATGTCATTGTCAATTTATTTTGATTTTTAAGCGTATTGAACATTTCCAAATTTATCTGATGCTTACGTTTGAATAAATGTACAACAAAATGTATGCAGTTGGTTTTGTATTAAAAACATATATTAAATTTTATAAAATAGTATCAAAGCAAAACATGTATTAATTAGAAAGTACAGAATTATACAATAATTCACTGGATAAGAGAACAGTGAGATGTTTCCCCAATAACAAACCCTGGATCACCACTGACCTGAAGGAACTGCTAAACCAGAAAAAAAAAAGAGCCTTCAGGGACGGAGACAGGGAATTATTGAGGAGCGCACAGAAGCAAAAGTCAAGATAAGAAACAGCAAGGAGGTGTACAAGAAGAACTCGGAGAGCAAGCTCCAGTGAGGTGTGGTCAGGGATGAAGAAGATCACAGGTTTCAAGCAGAAGGAGGATCAGAAGCCTGAACACGTTCTTCAATAGGTTCCGTTCAGGAACAAGCTCGGCATCCTCCTCTCTTGCCCACAGCCAAACATACATACCACCCTCCATTGACCCAAGACTGTCCTGTCACACCTCAAATACTGTATCTACCACCTCAGTCATGGACCCTTCTTCTTCTACATGTTGGTCTTCAACCAACTCAGAAGATGCTGATACCTCCTTTGCCTGCATCTCCAGAAGTCAGGTGAGGAAGCAGCTGGAGAGTCTGAATCGGCTGCAGGTCCAGATGGTGTCAGTCCCAGAGTCCTGAAGGTCTGCGCAGAGCAACTCTGTGGGGTTCTGCAGCACCTCTTCAACCTTAGCCTGACCCAGGAGAAGGTTCCAGTGTTGTGGAAAACATCCTGTCTTGTTCCAGTGCCAAAGAAAACGCACCCATCAGTCCTCAATGACTATAGACCTGTTGCCCTGACATCCCACATCATGAAGGTCCTAGAGAGACTTCTGCTGACCCACCTGACTGAACAAACAAGCACATATCAGGACCCACTGCAGATTGCTTATCAGCGTGGACTTGGAGTTGAAGATGCCATCATACACCTGCTTCAGCAAACTCACTGTCATCTAGAAAAGGCAGACAGCACTGTGAGAGTCATGTTCTTTGATTTCTCCAGTGCATTTAACACAATCCAGCCTGATTTGCTTGGTCAGAAACTCCAGGAGACTCAGGTGGAGGCTTCAACAATCACATGGATCAAAGACTACCTGACAAACAGTCCACAGTTTGTGAGACTGAAGGGTTGTGTGTCTAACCAGGTGGTCAGTAGCTCAGGAGCACCCCAGGGCATTGTACTCTCACCATTCATTTTCACTCTGTACACCTCAGATTTCCAGTACAAAACAGACTCCTGTCATCTGCAGAAATATTCAGATGACTCTGCAGTGGTCGGGTGTATCAGAGATGGACAAGAAGCTGAGTACAGGGAACCGGTGGACCGCTTTGTGTCATGGTGTGGAAACAATCATCTCATCTTGAATGTGAACAAAACAAAGGAGATGATTGTAGATTTCAGGAGAATCAGGAACAGGTCCAACCCTATTTCCATCATGGGAGAAGAAGTGGAGGTGGTGGTGAAGTATAAATAATTTGGAGTTCACCTGGACAACAGACTGGACTGGAAATGCAACAGTGAAGCTGCCTACAAGAAGGGACAGAGCAGACTGTACTTCTTGAGGAAGCTGAAGTCCTTCAGTGTTTGCAGCAAGATGCTGCATATCTTCTATAAGTCTGTTGTAGAGAGCGCTGTCTCTTCTGCCATCATCTGCTGGGGGAGCAGCACCAGAGCAAGTGACTTAAAAAAGATCAACAAGCTCATAAAGAAGGCTGGCTCAGTTCTGGGGACTCCTCTAGAACTTTTGGAGATGATTGTACAAAGAAGGATTCTTCATAAAACGAAGAACATTATAGACAACCCTCAGCATCCTCTTCATCAGACTGTCATACAACAACAGAGTGTCTTCAGTCAGAGGCTTCTTCAGATCCGTTGTAGGACAGACAAGAGATCCTTCCTGCCCACAGCTATCAGCATCTAACAACTCCAATGAAACCAGGATGAGTGACAACAACATTTAATTTCCCTCTGGGATTAATAAAGTATTTTTGAATTTGAACTGAATGTAATAAACAAGCGCTGTATACAGATAGATTGCAATAGAAGTGTTTAACAGCCATTTAACATATCAATGACACGTGCCTAATGATATGTCATGCATCATTGGACACTTTTAAGTGGGTATACTGAAATTTTTAAGCTTTAACTCCTATACCAGCGTATTGGGTAGACCACTGATTTATGCCATCCATCCCCAGGTGGTCCAGTGGGCAGCCATAGGCGCCTGGGGAGAAATTAGGGATAGGGTGTGCTGCTCAGAGTCACCACGAGATGTGCAATGACTGGGGATTGAACGTATGACCTTCCCGAGTCGACTGCCCTGCCTCTACACCATCTCGGTGGTGCAGGGTGGTGTTTTCCGCCACAAGAAGGCGAAGGAGAGTCGAAAAGTTCTTCTGTTCCATTTAGCAACGAATGCCCTGGAGTTATATGTTGTCACGGTAGTATTGTTGTAAATACATTAGTTTTTTTTTTATTTTGGGTTTTTGTTTGTACGGTTTTATTTATTTTCTTTTGCATTCTTCTTATTTGGTTAGATTTGTTTGCTAGTTGTAACTTTGTAAAGACGTAGTGTGAAGACAGACACAGTGTTATGGTACATTTTTATGTTGTTTAATAAAAAAATAAAATAAAATAAAAACTTCCAGTAATGGAGCCAATCAGCGTCGCGGATTGCCCTGCTGGCTCCGTCCAATCAGAAGCCTCGCTTTTCAAATTTGAAATTCGAACCATCCACAGTTTCACACAGTTCAGCAATAGACACCGAAGTAGACTGATGCTACAGAACGACAAGAGGGGATGTAATGAATATCAACATTTTTAATATTACGTTAGTTTTTAAGCCTAACCGTTGGTCTGTAATGGATAAAAGACAAAATGTCAGATTTCGTCGGCGGCTAGCTTAGCTTGTCGGCTAGCTTAACTAGTCAGCTAGCTTAGCTTGTCTTAACTAGTCGGCTAGCTTAGCTTGTCTTAACTAGTCAGCTAGCTTAGCTGGTCTTAACTAGTCAGCTAGCTTAGCTTGTCTTAACTAGTCGGCTATCTTAGCTTGTGGGCTAGCTTAGCTTGTCTTAACTAGGCGGCTAGCTTAACTAGTCAGCTAGCTTAGCTTGTCTTAACTAGTCAGCTAGCTTAGCTTGTCTTAACTAGTCAGCTAGCTTAGCTTGTGTTAACTAGGCGGCTAGCTTAGCTTGTCGGCTAGCTTAACTAGTCAGCTAGCTTAGCTTGTCTTAACTAGTC